AGCGGGGCCCGTCGCAAATCCACGCCCCCCTGATCCATGTTTGCGATCGCCTGGCAGACCTTTGAGCAAGGACCGACCGGCCCGGCATTTTCTAGTCCTACCACGACATGTTCTCAGAACCCGAAGATGTTCCAAAAACAAAAACCATGTTCTTAGAACATAAACCCGATGTGTTTAAAAACAAAAAACAGCCCCGGCCGGAAAGGTTCGACGAACGTTCCGTGCAGACCACAAAAAGCTCCTAGCACAGTGTTTGGCAGGCCTGCAGGCACGCCAGGACGCCTCGCCACCGCTTGAGACATGCGGTGCCTCGCCTTTTCTTTTCCACGCGCGGTCCCCCGCAGCCCCCGACCCTCTCACCGGCCGCGGCTTCTCGCCCCGAAGCGGCGCTCTTCGGCGGCCCCCCCGAGGCCCAGCGAGGGCCCTCGAAGGCCGAGGGCGGCCAGCAGAAGCCTCCCGCCATGTCCAGAGGGCAGCAGATCCGCCCCGATAAGAGGCACCCCGACAAGCGTTGTGATCGTTGTTATCGTTATCGTTGCTATCGTTGTTATCGTTATCGCTGTTATCGATATCGTTGTTATCGTTGTTATCGTTGTTATCGTTGTCGGGGGCAGCAACTCCGCCCCGATAAGAAGCGCCCCGACAAGCGAAGCCGTTCACTGATCATTTTCTTAAGGTGGAGGGTGAAATCCAGGTGGGCTGTTGTGCCTCGAAAGTCAATCCGTCTTGTGAATTCACCTCGTGCAAATTCCAGCCTCGAAGATCCATCGAAACGGCATTTCAGATGTCACCCTTTGCCCTCCACCCAAAGAAAATGCTCGGGTTCAGTACAGTGGAGGCCAGTCCACAAGAGACCTGCCGCAAAAAGTCCAACCCTGAGGCCCCAGGACGTCCACTGATTCTTGGTGCGGGAACGTCACGCCTTCCACGGCAAACCCATCGAAACCCAAGAAATCCAGGGCACCCTGGAGGCAAGCAGGGTGTTTTTTGGCATGGGTCTCCACTGCAATGAGCACACCGACAAGCGAAGCCGTTCAGCCGACGCGCCCAGGGAAGGAATCGAGCAGGGCGGGGCTGTTCTGGAAACGCCCGGGGCCGTGTAGCAAACGCCAACTGTCGGGGCCTGGGTACTCTTCCTCGCTTGCATCTTGCATGTCTTTTCATAGACGAGCGCGCTCCACTGCTCGCAAAGCAACTGCTCGCCAATGGCCTGGATCCGCCGCGGGGGATATATCCGTGCACGACTCCTCGCATCAATTGCAGACATGGGCTCTTCGGACCCTCGCGAGGCAGGCACTCTGCGAGCGGCGGCACGCGCTCGGCGCTCGGTGATTCCGCGACGCGGGCACGTCTGGGTCGGCCGTGGCTGCGGGCGCTCCGCGGCCGTGGCGCCCCGGCCGCGCGCCGCTCGCGGCCCGCCGATGCCCGCCGCCCGCCTCGCCCCGCGCCGGAGAGCTCCGCGCGCCGAGGCCCGCGCCAGGCCGCCCGGGCCGGTCTGCTCGGGCGGCCGCGCGGGGGGCGCCGCCACGACGGCGGCCGCGGCGGAGAGGAGGGCCAGGACCTCGGCGGGCCGGGGAGGGGCGAGGGGAGGAGAAGGAGGAGGAGGAGGAGGAGGAGGAGGAGGAGGAGGAGGAGGAGGAGGGGGAGGAGGGGGAGGAGGGGGAGGAGGAGGAGGAGGGGCCCCGCCGCCCGGCTTTGAGCACGCGGCACGCGGCACGCAGCACGAGGCCCCCCGACGCGGGGAGCTCGGCGCGCAGGCGGGGCGCGCCGGCCCGACGCGGCGCACGCTCTCTCCAAGGCGCTGGCCAGCACACCGAGCCACGACGCAACGTCTTGACGCGGGCGTCCTGAGCACGGCACGTGCTGCGTCTCGAAGCGAAGCAAGCGCGTAGAGGCAGCTACCCATCGGTCGGAAGAGGCGACGCTGAAGACACCCCAAGAGAACCTCGAGAGGGGCCCCAGACAGCCCAATATGGCCTCAGGACGGTCCAACGGGCCCCACCCAGCCCGAGATGACCCCAACAGGACCCACAAGGCACCGCGGACCGCCCAGGAGGGCCCCGAGTGGCGCCCTAGACGCCCACAGACGGCTCCAAGAGGCCCGCAACGAAGGCCCCAGCAAGCCAAGATTCCCCATTCCTTCAGGCGATTCCTTTTGGGAAATAACCGTATGTTTGGCAATCTGCGTGAGAAGCTCTGAACATCGACCCGAGACGGGCCACGAGGCCTCAAAAAGGGCACCCCGACGGCTCCAGGCGGCCCCGGAACAGCCTAAGAGACGCCCCAAGACACCCCAACAAGACCCCGAGAGGGGCCCCAGCCAGCCCAATATGGCCCCATGACGGCCCAACAAGGGCCCCACCCAGCCCGAGATGGCCCCAAGACGGCCCACAAGGCGCCGCAGACCGCCCAGGAGGGCCCCGAGGCCCCCTCGACGAACACAGATGACACCTTGTCGCCCAGAGATGACATCCGCCCCCGTCTACGGCGACCTCCAGTCGCCTTGCGCCGATCCAAGAAGCGCGCACGGAACTCCGAAAGGTTATGCTTGTATACAGGTATGTGTTCCTCCACGGTGAAGGCGTTGGATGAGCATCCAATTGACCAGGAATCCAAAGCATGGAAGCCAGCGGAACTCCAATCGTGACTTGGCCATGGCTATCGCCGCCGCCCTTATCATATAAAAAACCAGGGTCTGAAGCCCCCTGGGCACATTCCTTAACCAACGCGCCCGCCGTACGCTGTCCGCCCTGGAGTCCACAACACATGCACGAGAGTGGCGCCCATGTCGACGTCAACAAACAAACGACGGCATTACCAAGCGAGAGCGCACAGCGAGTCGTGGCTCCCAGGAGGCCAAGTTTCGCGCATACTTCCCTTAGGAAACCCTCCGCATTTAAGAACGAAGGCGATGACCGAGGAGGAGGGCAAATTTGGAGGACAGAGCAGAAAAAGGCAGGCAAGCGACGAGGAAAGAGAAAGGGCATGCGAAGTGCACACGCACACACGCACACACACACACACGGACACTGATCCCCTCTCCCTTGAATTTCGAATCCGCGAACCCCTTGTACGTCTCCAGGCGCGTGAAATTGTCCTTCCCCTCCCCTTCTCCCCGGCTCGGGATGGCCCCCCCGGGATCGCATCATTGGAGGATCGAATATTTTCTGGTATTTTTGGTGGCTCCGAGACGGGTCCAGAGACAACCAAAACTCTCGAAGACTTGCCATCGCTCGGACGTCGCTCGGACGTCGATTCCCTGTGCATTCCTCGGTTGCGTGTGTGCGTGTATGTTTGTGTGCATGTTTGTGTGTGGTGCGTGTGTGTGTGTGTGTCTGTGTGTCTGTATGTTTTTTTCCAGATGATCCAACATGCTCCTCGATAGCCCTCGCCGAAGAAAAATGCAAATGTCCGCGCGATGCCAAGAGGGGGATTCCGAGCCCCAGCGAAAATCATTCCAAGAGGCTCGATATGGTTTCAAGACGGCCCGAAAGGCCTCGAAGACGCCCCGAGAAGCCTCCCAGGGCATACCGTGAAAGGTCTTCAGAACCCCACCCCAATAAGGTGTAATTAATTATCTGTTCGGCGGCCTTAGTTACAGATAGGTGTTCCACCAATTAGGGGAAACTAGTTATTAGTTCCCCGCGGCACCCGCCGCGCAACAACGACGCCGACTGCTACGACTACGATTGCGACCACGACTACGACGACTACAAGTCACCATGCCTCCGGAGCGCTCTCATGGAAAATCCTGGCTCAGAGAATTGATCCTCAGGAACTGGATCCTGGCAGCTCCATCCTGAAAAAGACCGTTGGAACTCGGGCCCCACGCGGGTCCCCAGAAAGTCCATCCTCATAAGCTTCATCCTCAGAAGCTCCATCCTCAGGAAGACTGGAAGCTCAGGCCCCACGAAACCCGCAGAAACTCCACCCTCAGAAGCTCCCCCCTCGAAAAAAAAAATGAAGCTCAAGCCCCACGAGGCCCTACAGAAATTTCACTCTCAGAACCTTCCTCTTTAGAGAGATCGTTGAAACCCAGGCCGAGCGAAACCCTGGGAGATCACACCCTCGGAAGCCGAGCCCGCGGAGTCGAGCAGCTCAGTGCCGCAGAGGGTGCAGTGGGTGGGCTCGCTGGGGCCGGCGGCGCCTCGGCGCAACCCTTCCACGAAGTCCTGCTGGTCGACGAGGAGCCCCGTTGTGCTGGCTCAGAGCCCCCAAGCCACTCGTGGTTGGTGTCCGTGTGGCTGAGGTGCGGCGCAGCGCGGGGTCGTCGCCGACCTGCATGCGAGTGGCGGTCGCGGAGCTCCAGGCGCGCCTGCGTGTCGAGGCGGGCCAAGACGGCCCTCTGGAGGTGGGTGCGGCCGCGGGGGGCAGCAGCCGGGTGCTCGTCGTCCTCGCCCTCGTCGAAGGGGGCGATGCCGCTGCCCGTGCGCTGGGGCAGGTCGTTCCGTCCGGGAGCGCCGCCGTTTGCGGGTGCGCCGGCGTCGAAGAGGCCGGCCCACTGTTCCTCGCGCTGGTCGGCCTCGTCTGCGAGGAAGTCCAGAAGCTGTCTTCTGGCGGTCGGAAGGAGGAGCCCCTATCAGCGTGACCGCGGCCCCCTCCCTCCGCGCGCCGGTCGTGGGCCCCCATGTCTGTGGCCAGGGTGCACAGGCCGGCCTGGGCGAGGTGCTCGGCCATCTCGCGGACGTGCGGGCGGGAGCTCACGCGGCTGGCGAGGGAGGCGGCTGTGGACACTCGCTCCGCAGGGCGTAGGCCGAGGCCGCCGCAGGGGACTCCTGTGGCGGCTTGCTCCCAGGCGTCGTCTGGCAGGTCACCGCCAAGGCATGGGATTCCACAGTCCTGGAGTTCCACGTCAGCGACGCGTCACCCACCGAGGGTACCCCACGTGCTGCACGAATGAAGCATGAGGGGTCCACACGCTGGCATCCTATGTGTATGGCTTCAACCTGCTTTCTACTGTACCCTTGTAACGCCAAACCGAGTTTGATGAAGCCCCGACTTTTCCATCTTGGGCGATGGCAAGCACTTCGCACGGTTAAAACAATCGGAACAGCACGCGCACGGAACTGTTGTACATCCTGGCATGGCCGAACTGGCCAAGCATGAAAAGCGCAAAGACGAGTTGGACGGGTCGGGGCTGACGCAATGCCGCTCCACGAGCGGAAGGTGATCGGGTGTGAGGAGGAGGAGGAGGAGGAGGAGGAGGAGGAGGAGGAGGAGGAGGAGGAGGACATCGGCATGGAGCAGGCAGGTCCGGAGGGAAACGGGTCCTGGACCTCGGGGCCATGCCCCCCTGTCGTCGCAGGGGCTGGACAGGATCGCTCACGAGGGCAGCGTGGAGACAAGGCGGAGAGAATGCTTCGGATCTCGAGCCGGCGTGTTTGACGGTCCTGAGGCACTCTAAAACATGGCTAGGATCGGGATAAATCGCTCCAGAGCGTTCCGGAGCGCTCTCAGAGCGTTCCGGACCGCTCTGGAGCGGCCGCGGCGTCCAATACATCCTCCAAACCCGCCGATTCTCAGAGATTTCGGGTTATCCCGATCCGATTTTGTCCCGATCTTCGCGTCGTTTTACACTCCCCTCAGGACCTGGTTGCTTCATGCCGAGTGAAGCATCCGCGACCCACACCGCGCGCAGGCAGGGGAGCAGGGGGTGCCGACAGGCTCGGCAGGTGTCCGGGTCGGGAGGGAGCTGCGCGCGCACGTGGCCGCGCTGCTCCCTCCCGTCTTGGGGACCCACGCAATCGGCAAAGACCTCCGTCCGAGGGCAGACACCAGCCTGTACACCATGCAGCCATCTCCCTCGAGAGGCAGGCGCGCTGCGATCACTGCCAGGACGTTGGAGAGAAGCACCGCGGGGCTCACGCGTGGGGCATCGGGAGGCCGGGCGCCGGATAGACACGCGCAGAGGACTGGCGTGCCCGGTCATGGAAGGGCGTGGCCACATGTGCATCCGGCTCTCGCCCAAGCCGGCCGCGTCATCTGCGTCCAGTTTCCCGGTGTGCTGCGGTGAGCGCGACACCGCTGGCCCCTTTCAGGGGACCAGCTGCCCCTTTTCTCCTCCAACAGCTCGTCCCTTCCTCCTCTTCTTCATCCTCCTCCTCCTCTTCGCCCTCCCTTCTCCCCCGACCCCACCTCCCCACCTCCCCAGTCCTCCTCCTCGTCCTCCTCCTCCAGCTCCTCTACCTCCTCCTCCAGATCCTCCTCCTCCCTTCCTCCTCCTCCTCCTCCTCCTCCTCCTTCTCCTCCAGATCCTCCTCCTCCAGATCCTCCTCCTCAAGCTCCTCCTCCTCCTCCTCCGATGCTGCGACGCTCTGGGTGCATGTGCCACCAGTCACTGGTCACTAGTGAGCCCTGCTGGGTCAGCGCGCATGCTGGGGCTGGCCATTGTCGGGCCCTCCTGGGGTTGCCCGTTCTGGTCTTGCGCCCCCTTGTCGGGAGCATCCCTGTGGCTCCTTACGGCCGAGCCCGCGACGGAGACGGCAAACATCGCACCCATAACTAGGAACGTACTGGCGGGGGTTATGTAGACCCACGGGGCCAGGATAATCTCTAGAGCCACGAATAGGAGGATAATGCACAGCCCGTACCGCAGAAGGTCGAACCTCTCCATCATGGAGGCGATGATAAAGAACATTGCGCGAAGACCGAACATGGCCAGCAAGCTAGAACTGAAGGCGATGTACCCATTCGGGATCAGGCTCGCCTTGACAGCCACGCAGTCCAGGGAGAAGAGGGTGTCGATCAATATTATCATCAGGATGGCCACCAGCAGCAGCGTCGCCTGGAACCTCCCGCTGGATGCGTCCCGCTTGAACACCGATCCATCTAGGCTGTAGCTCCCAGCGAGGCAGTCGCCAAAAAGCCGTCTGAGAACCCTAACCACGACCAAGTCCTCCAGGTCGACGTCACCATTATCGTGGACGATGGCGCCCTGGATGCCGCTCCAAACGAGCATCGCCGCACATGGATACCTGACCCACTCCATATGGTCCACCATCCACACGATGAGCAAAAAGAACAGCAGGCGGACGAAGATGGAGCAGACGACGCCGATGAGAATCGTGTTGGAGTAATGGGCAGGGGGCGTGCGGAGGAGGATGAAAACCATCTGGATCAGCATCAGGTTGTCCAGGGAGAGCATCCACTCGATTCCGTATCCCATCGCCCAATATGTCGCCTCCTCAGTGCCGAACCGTATCCAAATCAGCACGTTGAATGCAAGCGCGACGGCGACCCAGAAGCCCACCAGAGCGACGTACCAGCCGAGTGTGTTCGGCAGAATCTTGAGCACAACCAAGTCCAGGGCGAAGAACGCCGCGCACGCGACGGCGAGGATGATCCAGTCCAGGAGAGTGGCGGACTGAAAGAAATCTGTGGGGCTTATCTTCGGGTCATCCAGATCGAAGATCGACTTTTCTCCAGTAAGCACACCCAGCACCCCGGGGCTCGTGCTGTTGATGCCGAGGTCCTTGGGCGATCAAAATGCCCCTTACCGCTGGGCGCGGGATAGGGAACCGTCGTCGCTGAGCCCTCTCCACACCACACAGCGACGTGGCGTATACCTGGACAGCTGCAATTAAGCTGGGGAAAAGATAGGTTGGAAATTGCCAGGGCTGGAAAGAGAGGAAGAGCTGGCCTCACAACCCTCTGCGAAACTTAACGCAAGTTTTTCCCGCGCCGCGTCGGCACCCCCAGGCCCCCAAAATTCAGCGTTGATGCCCAAACGCGTGACTCAAAGTTTTCCGTCGACGTCCGCGGACCGCGCCGAACGCGCAACAGAACGTTGAGATTGGGGGCGACAGGGGGTCGGCACAACTTGCGTTAAGTTTCGCGGAGGGTTGACGGCGGCGACGGCGTCCACGAAGACGCCGTGGCTGCGGCGATGGCGGCTGAAAATGGGGAGCGACGGGGGGTCGGCAAAACCTGCGTCAAGTTTCGCGGAGGGTTGTAGCCATTTCTTTCGGCTTGGCTGCGCAAAAGAAGGTCCCCGGGCCCCGCAGGCCGATGTACACTCCCCCGATGGGGATTTCCCATCTCCTTTCTGGATGGGGATAGGAAAGGTGAAGGTGAAGGTGGAGGTGGACGGCCGAGCCATCCGCAATCCCAACTGCGATTTCTTGCGCCACCGCGTTCCCATCCACACGACGAACGACCCACTTTGTCCGCCCACCCCCAGGGTGGCCCAGTTTGCCCCCTCCGAATCCAGAAATGGGAGACGGCACCCAACTCCGGGTGCCGCCTCCTCTGGGCTTCGCGGCACCCGTCCCCACCGACGTGGAGGGGGCGCGCTGGGACTGACTACCTACCAAACCACCCCAACCCAACCCGAAGACCCGAACTTCGGGTTGGCGGGGGTAAGGGTTCCACATGTGTTTTTTCGATGTTTCCCGACCCCCCCCCCCCACTGGAAATCGAGGGTAAGTTTGAGCCTTCGGGTTGGGTTGGGGTGGTTTGGTGGGTGGTGAGGGACAGCCAAAGGCTGCCGTCCCGCTCCGGGGCTGGGATGGCTCGGACGGCGACGACTACGTCCGGCCCCCTCCCCCGCCGACGCTCTGGTTTCTGGCGCTGTGTGTGTTTTTGTGTCCGTGGCGCAGGCCCCTCCGAGGACCTCGACCACTTGCCTGGGCCTGGCTCCTCCTCCTCCTCCTCCTCCTCCTCCTCCTCCTCCTCCTCCTCCTCCTCCTCCTAGTCGGCGCGAGGGGCTTAAGATTTCGTTTCCGACCGACCCACTCGCACAAACTGCCTGCCGACTGCTCCAGGGCCACAAAAACTTCCCGCGGCCAGGGGGGGAGAGGGCCTGGGAGGCGTTCTGGGACCGCCGTCCACGGGAGTGAACCAGAGGCAGCACATTCCGATAGTGTACTTCCCTTTTGCACTCGTTCTCTTCCTGATCCAGGGATGGCCGCAGCGGCTGCCGAGTACGGCGGCCGCATTGGACGTCCAGGAGCTCCTCCAGGATTCGGCACAGAGCGCACGCGAATCAGACGGCAGATGAGAAAGATGCACATACAGAAAATGTCATTTCAAATCAAATATCTGGAGGCGGCGTTGAATGACATAGTTGATGGACCCACTTTCCGGGACCAAAGCACGAATACTGATAGACAAGTGGAACCCGAGCAAATCACATACGGACTTCCTTTGATATCGGCAGACGGGGGCGTATGCTTGGTTTCTTTAGCATCAAAGTGGGAAGCTTGCACGGACGAGCTCGTGGGACTCTTATGCGGTACGACTCAGTTCAAAGAAGATACTTTGCAGGATTGCACTGGCGAGTTTTTCGGGCTCCTTTCCAGCGCGGCAACAGAGGATCGTTGTCCCGTCTCGTTGAGTAATAAACAAGAAAGGCGGTCATTGGATCGCTGTGGGAAAAGTATTATAAAGCAGAACAAGCTCAAAGTGAAAGGGGGCAAAATTAAGCACACCATAGTGTTTCAATCAGCGAAGCGACTCGTTTATGGAGACTCAGTTTCAGCGAAGCTTGGGAGATTGTTGGACAGCGTATATGACATTCTGATTACAGACCAGGCCGCGAAATATGGAATTTCTTTGAGGGAGCTGCAAACCCGAATGAGGTCTCGAGATACAAGACAGGAGATTGGTTTAGCCGTGCAAATCTGGATGTGGATAGGCACGATATATTGCAGAGAATCAAAGTATTATTCAAAATATTGTGTGTGAATGTTTCTTCTGCGTTGCCTCCCTCTCCCGTTCCTCTGCTCACAGACGGTGACGGGAGCGTCCCCCTGCTCCCTAGGAACCGAAAAGAAAGAAAAGAACGAAGCGGGGGGGCACGCGTTTGGCGTGACGAGGTTGTTGAGTGTGCATTTCTCATTGTCGTGCGTGCTGCTCCGAAGAGAACGGCATAACAACGTAATGTGGCTGTGCATGTGCATGTGCATGTGGGTAGCAAGCAGCGTCGCAATATAGTGCACTTCGTGTTCGGTTCACAATCACCAGGCCCTTTTGGGGGGGAGTCTCGCGAGGACCCGACATCGCCAGACTCCCGACCCCCGACTTTCCTGAGCTTGTGAGAGCGTGTCGCCCTCCGCTTAAGGGCCACCCTGTTCGGCTCGCCTCTGGTGGGGAGGGGGGGAGGAGGGGGTGGGGGGCGTGGAGGCAGAGAGCCCACAGGGTCGTCTGGGCAGGCCGCGGGATCTTGTTCGTGCTCGATCCTCGGCCCTGCTTCCATATTCTTCGCAGGGAGGTCAGAAGAGCCCAAGCGGTAGTGCTGCTGCTGCTGAGGATCGTCTCCCCAAGCGAGTTGTCCTTGTTGTCCTTGTCCTCCTCCTCCTCCTCCCCCTCCCCCTCCTTCTCCTCCTTCCTCCTCCTTCCTCCTCCTCCCGAGTCGTGTTCTCGACGGCCACTCTGCGGGCAAGAGGCCCCGGAGGGCGAAAGCGCTGCACCGCTTGCAGCAGCCCCCACCTTTGGAGGGGGTGCGCTGGGACAGCTGGACAGCCGTCTCGCTCTGGGGTTGGGGTGCGCTTCTTGTTGTTTTTTTTCGTTCGTGCTGCAGGCCCCAAAAGGATCTCGACGACTCGCCCGGGGCCGGCTCTGCGGCCCGAGTCGTGCTCGATCGACGGCCCACTGCGGCGGGCAGGCGGCCCCCCCGGAGGCCCAAGAGGCTGCACAGCCGGCCGTCGCGACTTTTGCCGTGCGGGCGCCCAGATAGATCCTTGCCCGCGCCCCAGCGGGGCGCCAGAAGCCTGGCCACAGAGGCCAAGCGCCAGCGCCCCACGGCGCGCCCCGCACCGCGTGCCACCAGCTGGGCCCCCAGCGCCCGGCGCGCGCCGGCCGCGGCCGCGGCCTCGGCGGGCGCCAGCGCCTGTGGACTGGCTCGCAGAGCAGCTGCTCGCCCCGATCCCCGACTTTTTGTGGGTTCTCGAAGGGGCCAAGCATTTGAGGTCAAACTCGGGGTTGTACACAACGGGGGGCGTCCGTCTTCCACGGGGGTGCGTCCGAGGAGCCCCCCAGGTTTTTGTCCCCGAGCTTCCTCGCTTTCTTGTGGAGCGGCCAACATGTTTCGGGCGGAACTCGGGGACTGGGGCCGCAGAGGGCCTGGATCCGCCGCGGGAGACTTACGAGCCATCAAGTCGAAGCCGACATGTGCTTCGCGGGCGTTCTTGCGGGTGGGGACTTTGCGGGCAGCGGGGTGCGGGCCAGCCCGCCGCCATGCTGCAGCAGCGCCGTGGCGATGCCAGGCTCGAGGGAGTCCGCCTCGGCCTGGGTCGCCAGCTCAGCGCACGGGCGCAGCGGCGCCGGCGCCCGCGCCTCCTGGAAGTGCTCAGCAAACGTGGGGGAGCGGATGGCATGGTCGGGGGGGGGGTCGCCACAGGGGGCGGGCTCGGCTCCGTCGCGGGACCCCAGGAGGAGGGGGGGGAGGAGGAGGAGAAGGAGAAGGAGGAGGAGGAGGAGGAGGAGGAGCTGGAGGAGGAGGAGCTGGAGGAGGAGGAGCTGGAGGAGGAGGAGCTGGAGGAGGAGGAGCTGGAGGTGGTGGAGGAGGAGGAGGAGGAGGAGGAGGAGGAGGAGGAGAGGCGGGGCGGCACGGATGGGGTGAGCTGAGCAGCTCGAGCGCCGACTCCTTGGGCCACTCCGGGGGCGCGCTCTGGCCAGGGCCTCGCGGCGGGTCGATCCAGGACCTCCTGGGGGCAGGACCTGGAAGCGCGCGCGAGCCGCCGCCGCCGAGGTCGAGCGCCAAGGCCTCGCCGAGACCAGGCGAGTGAGGCCATCGCCTCTGGATTCTGCAGGACCTCGAGGGCCCTCCAAGGAGGCCCAAGGAAGCGGAGGCGGGGGGCGGAGGGGGAAGGGCCCGGCGGGCGGCGAGCGCGGCGGTGGCGGCGCGGCGGGGCGCCGCCGCCTCGGCCCTCGGCGCCTCGGCTGGCCCTGCGGCGGCGGCGGCAGAGTCGTGCTGCAAGCGGCGGCGGCGGCGGCGGCAGCGGCGTCGGCGCCCGGATCTCCGACGATGGGATCGTTTCATCCCAGCGTGTTTCCTCGATGTCTGGTCCCGTGTTTGGCCGCAGTAATTTTGGTCTTTGCTGGTCGGCAATCCCCCGACGGCGCGCGGCTCTTCCGCTGGCGCTCGCGAACGAAAAATGTCCTCGGTGTCGGCTCCGGGCATGGTGATGGGGCCCCGGAACCATCAAACGTTGATCCGCGACGCAAGCCCAGCCCCGGGGAGAGGGTCGAGTGCTCTGTAGCCGCGGATATAACAAAAAACCTGGCGAAGGACCCACCCACCCACAGGCAGTTGTGAGTAACGCGGTTGTGAGCATCGTTTTCGGTGGAGCTCCCTATGGTATATCAGACGAGTCATGGTCGAGTTGCAAGCAGCGCTGCGCACTTCACAATCGCAATCGGCGGCTGACAGTGGGGACCGCTGGGACCAAAGCAAACGTTCATGTCGACCATGCGGGCACATTGGGATCTTAGGCGAGTTCAGATCGCATTGCAAACAGCGCTGCGCACTCCACAACCACGCTCGGCGGCTGACAGTGGGCACCGCTAACACTTAAGCAAACGTTCATACCAACCATGCGGCTCCAGCGGGATCTCAGGCGAGTTACGGTCGAATTGCAAAAACAGGGGGGCTGACACTAGGGGCCGCTAGGACCAAAGCAAGCGCGCACGTGGGCCATGCGAGCCCAGCAGTGGGATCCCAGGCGAATTATGGTCGCGTTACAAGCGGCGCAACTCACTCTGCAACCGCCCGCGGCGGCTGACAGTCGGGACCGCTGAGACCACGGCAAACGCTCATGTCCGACAATGCTGGCCAAGTGGGTTCTGGGGCGGGTTATGGCAGCGTTGCAGACAACGCTGCGCACTCCACAACCGCGACCCGCAGCTGACAGTAGGGACCACTGGGACCAAAGCAAACGTTCATGTCGACCGTGCGGGCCCAGGGGGATCTCAGGCGGGTCATGGTCGCGTTGCAAACAGCGCTGCGCACTCCACAACCGCGCTCGACGGCTGACAGTAGACACCGCTGGGGGCCCAGCGCGCGCTCATGTCGACGATGCGGGCACAATGTGACCTCGGGTGAATCATGGTCGCCTTGCAAGCGGCGCTGCGCACTCCGCAACCGCCCTCGGCGGCTGACAGTGGAGGCCACTAACACTTAAGCAAACGACCGTGTTACTCATGCGGGCCCATTGGCATCTCAGGCGAGTTCTGGTCGCGTTGCAAACAGCGCCGCGCACTCCACAAATACGCCCAGCGGCTTATCGCAAAGGCCGATGGGACCAGAGAAACCGTCCATGTCACCCATGCGAGCCCGCTGGGGTCTCAGGCGTAACATGGTAGAGCTTCAAGCAGCGATGCGCACTCAACAACCGTGCGCGGCGGCTGTGCAGTGGGGGCCGCCGAAACCGAAGCAAACGCTCATGTCTACCATGCTGACCCAGCAGGGTCTCAGGCGAGTTATGATCGCGTCGCAAAGAGCGCCGCGCACTCCACGACCGCGCCCAGCGGCTGACAGCGGGGACCGCTGGGGCGAAAGCACGCGCCGATGTCGACCATGCGGGCACAATGGGACCTCAGAAGAGGCATGGTCGCGCTGCAAAAAAACGCGAACTCCGCAGCCGCGCCCGGCGGCTGGCAATAAGGGCCGTTGAGGCCGAAACAAACGTTCATCGACCGTGCGGGCCCAGTGGGATCTCAGGTGGGCTATGGCAGCGCTGCAAAAATTGCTGCTCACTTGACCACAGGGGCCGCTCAGCCCAGAGCAAACTCTCATGTCTGCCATGCGCGCCCAGGGGCATCTCATGCGAGTTAGACGGCGCTGCTCACTTGACACGCGCTAGGTGGCTGACGGCGGGGGCCGCAGAAACCACAACCAACGCTCGCGGCGACGATGCGGGCCCAGTGGGGTCTCGGGCGATTGAAAGGCGTTGCAAACAGCACTGGTCACTTGACAACCGCGCTCGGCGGCTGACAGTGGAGACCGCTGGAGTAACAAACGTTCACGCCAACCATGCGGGCCCAGGGGGATCTCAAGCGAGCCATGGTCGCGTTGCAAGCAGCGCTGCGCGCTCCACAGCCGCGCTCGGCGGCTGACAGCGGGGGCCCGTGCGACTAGTCATGTCAACCATGCGGGCCCAGTGGGATCCCGGGCGGGTCATGGTCGCGTTGCAAGCGGCGCTGCGCACTCCACGGCCGCGCTCAGCGGCCGACAATAGGGGCCGCTGAGACCAAAGCAAAAACTCACGCCTACCATGGGAGCCCAGTGAGATCTCAGGCGAACCATGGTCGCGTTGCAAGTAGGCTGCTCACTCGACAATCGCGCTCGGCGGCTGACAATATATAGGGACCGCTGAGACCAGAGCAAACGTTCATGTCGACCATGCCGATATAATGGCACATCAGGCGAGCTATAGTCGCGTTGAATATAGCGCTGCTCACTTGACAGCCGCGCTCGGTGGCTGACAATAACAATCATTGCAACTGACGCAAAAGTTGAAACCGACGCAAACAATCATGTCGACCATTCGGGTCAAGTGGGATCTCAGGCGAGCCATGGTCGCGTTGCAAACAGCGCTGCGCACTCCACAACTGCGCTCGGCGGCTGACACTAGAGACTGCTGAAACCAAAGCAAACGCTCTTGCCAACCATGCGGGCCCGTGAGATCTCTGGCAAACCATGGTTTTGTTGCAAGCCGCGCTGGTCAATTGACAACCACGCTCGGCGGCTGACAGTAGAGACCGCTGAGACCAAAACAAACGTTCACGTCGACCATGCGGGCCTACTGGGATCCCAGGCGAGTTATCGTCGCGTTGCAAACAATGCTGCGCACTCCACACCCGCGCTCAGCGGCTGACAATAGGGACCACTGTAACCGAAGCACACGTTCATGTCAACCATGCGGGTCCATCGTCGCTGCGAACTTTTCACCAGTTTCGTTCCTCTACCAATGAAATGCCAAAAGCTCCAATGGTGGGCAGGGTCCATCACGTCATTGAGCGCCAGAGCCTGCGAGCAGCAAGACGCCTCATTTCGACTTCGAACAAGAACAGGTTCGAATTCAGGTTTGGAGGAAATCATGGGCGGAATCGCCATGTCGACTTTGAACCGAATGCGTCTCGACTCTGTTTTGGAGGACGTGTTGGGTGGAATCCCGATTTTGCTTTTGATCCCGAAAATGCCAACTTCGTTCGACATGTTTCTTTGAGGTCTCAAGCGGAATCGTGGTTTCGAACCAACACTTCTTCGAATAAACGTGTCGAACCAAAGTCGTGCCCCCTAATCCAGAATCCAGACTGCGTGGACATGCCTTCGCTACACGAAGCTACGAGACGCACCCTGGTAACATTGTATTGGGACCCTGTCGCTTAATGGGCCCCTTTGGAATTGTCATCCGTGTGCAACTTTCTACCGAGCCCACCCCCCACCGAATTGGCAGAATTAAATGCTGGCCGAACGTTCGCAGCGGCGAAGTATAGGACCACGAAACGTGTGAGAGTGTGCCGAAACTGGCACGGGGGACGCATGTGAGAACCGCAACTGGTGCCCTCGGTTGAGTAACTTACGTGACCACGAAATGTGGGATAGGTGTGCCCTAATGGTTGCGGGGGACGCGTTCGAGAACCGCCAGTGGGTCCTTCGGTCAAGCTCATTATGGGGCCATGAAACGTATGAGGGGTGTGCCGTAATTGGTTCGGGGGACGCTTGCAAGCCTCGCCAAGGGGGCCTTGGGTGGAGCTGCCTATGGGGCCACGAAACATGTGAAGGGTGTGTGTAATGGGTGCGGAGGACGCATGCGAGAACTGCCACTGCGGTCTTCGGTGGAGCTCCCTATGCGGCCACGAAGCGTGTGAGGGGTGTGGCAAAATTGGTGCGTGGGACGCGTATGTACGAGAAGCGCCACTAGGGCTTTCGGTGGAGCTCCTATGGGGCCACGAAGTGTGTGATGGGGTGTGCCGTAATGGACATGTGGAAGGTAGAAGCAGGGATGGGATGGAAGCAGGATGGGGAGAAGAAGAGGAGGTGGGAAGCGGGGCGCTGTCTTTTCCAAACGAGGACCCAACACAACAAGATGGCATGGAATCAATATCGGCGGATGTATGGCTTCTACGGTCGGGGGACTTTTGCCCAGCGTGTCGTGACGGCGGCCCAGGCGACACGCTATACCCTGCGAGTGGATAGCGTTTCGCCCCGGTCCGCGCGGCGGGCGGCCGGGAAAGGCTCGGACCACTGATGCTCCGGAACTGGGGCGAGGATGGCGTGTCGCGCCGCAGCGTGGTGGGCCAGGAGGGGCGGAGCGACAGGCCAAGCCAGAGTTCCTGACCGTGCTGCTCCCCTCTGGGCCTCGCGAGTGCGGCAGGAGGCGCCGGGCGCAGCAGAGGCGCGGTCCGCGGCCGCCGCGGCCGCGGCGGCCAGCGCCGCGGCCGCGGCCAGCACGGCAGGGGCCAGGCGCGGCCGCGGCGCCCGCATCCCCGGACCGAGACCGCTGCGGCGCGCCCCCGCCCGCAGACGATGGTCTGAGACCACAGTCTGCGGTCGGGGCTCCGGCTCCCGGCGAGCCCTTCCGCCTGTGGACCCGGCCGCTGGAGCCAGGGTGGGCACGGGAGGGGGAGAGGCTGGGGACGGGAACGGCCCCGAGTCGTCCGTCGACGGCTCCGGGGCCCACTCGGAGGCGAGGAGGTCTGGGTCCGTTCCACGGCTCAGCTCGTGGCGCGTCTCGCCAGACGGCGGGGCCACGCCGACGGCGGACTGGCCGCCCGTGGGCTCCCCAGGGGGGCCCAGCGGCGGCGCAACTGTATCGGCCGTCCTCTACTTCCGTCTCCACGTCCCCCCTCCTCGCTCTCCTCGTCCTGCTCCTCGTCGTCCTCCTCATCCTGGTCCTCCTCATACTTGTCCTCGTCCTTGTCCTCATCCTCCTCGTCCTCGTGCTCGCCCTCGTCCACGTCGCTCTCGTCCTCCCAGTCCTCGTCATCCTGCTCCTCGTCCTGCTCCTCCTCCTCCTCCTCCTCCTTCTCCTCCTCCTCCTCCTCCTCCTCCTCCTCCTCCTCCTCATCAGCATCATCATCCTCATCCTCATCCTCATCCTCATCCTCATCCTCATCCTCATCCTCATCCTCATCCTCTCCTCTCCTCCTCCTCCTCCTCCTCCTCATCATCCTCATCATCATCATCTCATCATCATCATCATCATCATCATCATCATCATCATCATCATCATCATCATCTCATCATCATCATCATCATCATCATCATCATCATCATCATCATCATCATCGTCATCATCATCATCATCAGCATCAGCATCATCCTCATCCATCCTCATCCTCATCCTCATCCTCCTCTCCTCCTCATCATCATCATCATCATCATCATCATCATCATCATCATCATCATCATCATCATCATCATCATCATCATCATCATCATCAGCATCAGCATCAGCATCAGCATCAGCATCAGCATCATCATCATCATCATCATCATCATCATCATCATCATCATCATCATCATCATCATCGTTCTTGTCCTAGTTATCGTCGTCCTCGCCGTCGTCGCCGTCGTCATCCTGGCAACCGCCGTCCGCAGCGTAAGGGCCCCGACGTCCTCCGCGCGGTGCAGCAAGCTCTCAGGCCTCCCGGCGCGGGAGGCCACCTGCCGGGGAAAGAGGGGAGCCCGTTGTCGGCCGGCTCGCGTCGCGCACCACGGTGACTGCTGCCGCCGCCGTCGTCGGCGGCGTCGTCGTCGTCGTGGTCGGCATCGTCGCCGTCGTCGTGGTCGTGGCCGCCGTGGTCGTGGTCGTGGTCGTGGTCGCCTTCGTCGTGGTCGGCGGCGGCGGCGGCGGCGGCGCCGTCGTCGTCGTCGTCGTCGTCGTCGTCGTCGTGGTCGTGGTCGTCGTCGTCGTCGTCGTGGTCGTCGCAAGTGTCGTTGTGGCCGTCGTCGTCGTCGCGGTCGCCGCCATGGTCGTGGTCGTGGAGGGGGTGAGGGAGTTTGCTCTCTCTTGCCCCCCGAGAGCAGCCAGGCCACCCGGATGTCACCGAGTAAGCTCCCGCCGCCCAGTGCAGCGGCATTGTCGAGCCCCGGAAACCTCGAATCCAAAAAAATGTTGACGCCTCCGCTCGGTGGCTCAAAGATGAGGTCCTGAGGCATGGGGTCCGAGGCACAGGAAGGAATCCAAGGGTGCCTTTACGTTGTTTGCGCCCACGGCGACCACGGCCACGACCACAAGGACCCCCCCGCCAATCCTGCCGCCACCCTGCCGCCAGGTACTCCCGCCACCCTACCACCGCCTGGCACGGGGCCTCCTCCGCCGGAGGCGAGGCGCGCGGAGGGCGAGGCCCTCCCTGGAGCGCCCCCCACTTTTGGAGGGAAACCCCGAGCCCGGTGGCGGTGCGAGGGGGGGGAAGGTGCCCGGCCACCCCGGCTATTCGCCGGCTTTCGGAGGTTCCCCCGGCGGTTCGCCGGCTTTCGGAGGTTCCCCCCGCGGTTAAGGGGGGGTGGCGCTTGGTGGTTCTCGGGGGGCGGGGGGGCTGCGGTCGGGAGCATCCGGCTTAGCCTGTCGCGGCGGGGGGCCCGGCGACACGCTGTGCCTTGGAAGCGGACAGCCTCGGGACGTTGACGCTCGGGGACTGGGGCGTAGGCAGCTTGACGGGCCGATGGGTGGTGGTCCAGAACTGGCGACGCGACACGTTGAGCCAAGGTTCCTGACCGCAGGCGGTCGGAAGGCCACGGGTTGGCGGCGCGCACAAGGGGTCAGGGGGGAAGGGGGAGGTTTCTACGAAGGAGGCTGCTTCTTAGAAGGCGCTGGCCTTACATCTATAGATATAAGGCCCGCGCCTTCTGAGAAGCAGCCGCCTTCTAAGAAGCCTTCCCCCTCCTCCGACCCCCCTCTGCGCGTGGCCGAAGGGGGGGGCCCAGGAACAACCAGGCAGACACTCTGCGAGCGGACCAAAGCCAAAAGCAAGGACCGGCCGACCGTGGGCCACTTCGGGCGACGCCTGGCACCTGGGACCCAGACCTCCAGCGGCCTGACATCCACAATCCGCGGGACTCCAGAGCGCTCGACCCCGCCTGTGGCACAGATCAAGGGCGGCGTGGAACCGTTTTCAATGGGGCCGGGCTCTGAAAAAACAGGCTGCCGTGCGCTATTTGCGCTGGAGGCTTGGGCCGGCCCAAGAACTTCCGCTCCAGATGCAGCACCAGACCCCTGCCAAGCAGCACCCGATCCAACTTCTCGAGCTGCGCCCAACCGTGGGCGCGACGGGCGACCCCAGAGACCAAGAGAGACCCCCCCCTCTCCTCGCGCCACAACCATCCTGCTCCTCCTCCTCCTCCTCCTCCTCCTCCTCCTCTTCCCCCTCCTCATCCTCTTCCTCTTCCCCCTCCTCCTCCTCCTCCTCCTCCTCCTCCTCCTCCTCCTCCTCCTTGACACCTTGACCCAATGGGCGGCCGCACGTTCCTCCGTGCGGGCGCCGCGACGTCCTTCTCCTCCTCCTCCTCCTTTTCCTCTTCCTGCTCCTCATCCTACCTTCTCCCGGTTTCCTCAGGTCGCCCCTGGGTCCTGGGCTCGCCTCTTCAGAAAACGGCTCCGGGATACGTGTCTCGAAGATCGTGTTCTGAGTGGGATTGTGAAGCGGACCTGTGCGTGGCGACAAAGGGGCCCTATGAAGGCCCACGAGGAGTTGGAGGAGGGGGGGAGGAAGAGGAGGCTCTTAGAACACCCCGTCTGATTGAAGGCAGAAGCCCAGGCGACCGCAGAGATCAGGAGGGAGGATCGAGGAGCAGGCGGAGGAAGAGGAGGAGGAGAAGGAGGAAGAGACTAGAAAGGAGGGCGTGCAGAGATATATGACACGTTTTCAATGTCGAGCACGGAAATTATCAAACGCTGATAGCACCAGCACGGCAAGTTAACCTACCATGCCCCCGAGCCAAGGCCCACGGAAAGAGGAGACAAATCGGGCCTCCCAGGGGGACATGTGAACATCCTCCTAAAAGCAACGAGAAGTCATACCTACTGTTCGAGTCCAGTGCTCAAACGGGTTTG